CGGACGATGATGAAAATGATAACAAAATTTTTGCTAGTAAAATGATGATGATGACTGTGACATTTATAGATCAATATGATTGTAACTTAAAACTAAGAAGATAACCATTGTAATATCACTTGAATAGAAAAATGATAAGACTGATAGTATCAAATTCGCTTATAACGATGACATAAAATAAATAATCATAATAATGATAGATAAACATATCAAAAACGTATCATATTAAATTGTGATATTGATTAGTCTGATAGTTGGAATCGTAAAAATCTAAAATAAAATAAAAATAAGATGAGGATGATGAGTATGTTCAACATGTAAAAAAAGCAAGGATGTTGATGATAAGAATAATGAAGATTGGGTAACAGATGAGAATTAAAAATTGGCTTTAGGATTATGGATAGTAAATTTAATTCATTTCATTTTACGATTTCATTAAAAATAATTGTCTTTCTGTATCTTCAAATTATTAGGAAAACCTCGTGTATATCAGCTTTAGTGTATATAAAGGTCATTAAAACTTTATAAATATTGATGTGGGGAGTAATAAAATATTGGGAGGTGTGATTTTGGGGATATAAAAATTCATGAAAAAGTATAATCTTAGAGGTATAAAATGGCGATCTGAGCAGGCATCAACAAAACAGAGAGCGTGGAATTAATTTGAATGTGAAATCGATGATGTTAAATGTGACATGTATTTTGAACGATGCATTAAACAAAACGTTGGGTGAATGCGTATTCATTGTGTAACGTTGAACTTCTATGAAACTTTAAAAGAGCCATCAGGCAGGCAAACAAGCAGAAAAATGAACAGACAAACAAACTGACAAACAAGCACATAGACAGACAAAGAATTAAAGAAACAAGCAAGCAAAAACATTCGAGATAAGTAGCAACAGGCAAAAAAATCATTAAGGATAAAAGAGAGGAAAAGATGGATAGAAAGATGGATGACGGAAGCTGATGAAGGTGCTGTCAGGGCGTCAAATTAATAAATTAATTGATCGATAGATGTCACGCTGATTGGATTAAATGAGATGCCAGCCGAATAAATGCATTAAGATCCCTCATTAAGAAACTTACTCCTTGCTCCAACTTACCGTGAGATGTTGCCCTACCCCTCTGATGTTCACATTTTTCCTTGGTTTTCAATACATTCCTTAGAATTTAAAAATCATCATTATTGAAAGTATGAGTATGAGTATTAAGAGTATGAAACATTATGCACATACACGAACGTATAAGTTTCTGTCAGCTTTTAAAAAGTTTATATGGCTGAAATCATCTGGGAATTTTTCGAAGAAATTTTATTGAAATTTTAAAAGGAAAAAGGGTTTAATTTTTAATTTTTTTCATTTAATTAGTTTATTTAGAAGTATTTTTCAAATAAAGTTTTAAAAAAATTGTAACAAAAACGTTTTATATTTTGAAACTTTTAATATAAAAATGTAAAAACAACTGCAAAAAAGTGTGACGCTGAATGTTTGCACAAATTGTTTGGCAAGCTCGCTAGAAAGATGAACGATGAACATGTGAGAACACGTACGATCAAAAAAATTGAACAGATTATACAAGCAAACAAATAAATGCACTACTGACTTCACACACACACACACACAATTTATTTGAATAAACAAAATGGTTTCTGAGAAAGAAATTTTATCAAATCACAGACGTAAAGGTCTGAATTGTAACTTTGAAAACGTGTGAATTTGTAATAACAACTCATCTGTGAACAAAAAAGTTAAACCAAATTTGTTTAAAGAGAAATAATCACAATCAACTCTTTCCCTCTAGAAAATCTTAGCATGGATCCTTCAAAAAATTTTCAACAGATACCAAAGTATTTATTATGGCCATACATGAAAAAGTTTAAAAATCAAAACTTCATCAAAGCGTTATTCAACAAAGTTTGTTTTTTTTTTATTTTGCAGTTTTTAATTAGAAATATAAATTTAAAAAAAAATCTTGAAAAGTAAGTGTTTGACGAGTATGCAGATGAAACCAGCAGCTCATCCAAACCAGACAAAGAAATATAATAAATTCTCTTGTAAACCCATCGAAAAGTACTTCCGTGACTCTAAACACAATCAACAGACTTTTTATTGATTTTAAACTGTTTTGGAATTATGATTATGAAATGCATCTGAAAAAATTGACAAGTTTGCAAATAAAAAAACTCCCATTTACGAGCGGAAAAGGAAATACTGGTCTGATATGTGCAACATAAAGAGTGCATATGGACGATATGATGTTTGTTCACGCTGCAGGATTGTACCTTACTGCTGTTTTATGACGCAAAGATGGAGAGATTTCAACAATATGGAAAAAACTAAGAAGAGGAAAAATAATGAAAATGTGTTGGCCTACAGAATGCACGCTTTGACGTTTACGACCGCTAAACTACGTTAGCTGGAGAGGAGTTTTTGAAAGGGTAGATTGCAGGATAATGAAACGTCGCATGCTAAGTTTTAAAACAAGGTGAAAATAAATAAAAGATATATTGAAGAAATAGTGTGCACATAAGATGTGTAGAGAAAAAAGATTTTATATTTTTAATCGAAAAAAGTTTCCGTATTTGACACGTTAAGAAAATTCATCAAATTAGCTTTTCGGTTTCTTTTTAAATTTATGCCCATTAGTAATACATCACACACACACACACACACACACACACACACACACACACACACACACACACACACACACACACACACACACACACTAATATATAAATATTATACGGTTTTATTGTTGCAGTATTTGTTGTTGCTCTAAATAAATAACCTGGATGATTTCGAGTTAGATTTGGAATGTTCGGTGATATGCCATGTAAGGAAAGTTTAAAGATGATGTCAACGTGCGATTTCATAATATATATGGATATAGCATTATATATATATACATATATATTATATTATATTATATATTATATATATATAGCATTATAGCAAATCTATAATATATATTTTTTCTATTAACTAAAATATATATATATATATATAT